ATGGTGGCACATGTGGGATCTGCCTGGACCAGGGATCGAACCCGTGTCCTCTGCATTGGCAGGCAGATTCTTAACCACTGTGCCACCAGGGAAGCCCCAATGTGAATGTATTTAATGCCACTTAATTGTGCACTTAAAAATTGTTAAAATGGTAATTTAATGTCACATGTAATTTACCACAATTTAAAGCAATTTAAAAAATGGAGTATGATTGAAAAAACATCTTTCCCCTATCAAGTAATTAGTTACCCAGAAGTAAAGGCTGTGCAGGAAAGACAGGGTAAATGTCTGATTCTTGACTTTTCTTTAGCAGTTTTCACAATAATTTGTTACTTCCTCAATATCCACAAAAGATCACCAGAGAGTTTTTTTTTTCCTTTTGTGTCACTATGAAGTCATGGATGTAACATCTGATGTGTTGCTATCCACTGCATATCTTATTCTTCTTATGCCCACATTGTTTCATCTTTGGCCAGTGGAAACTTCTTTGAGTTGGTCCCTAAGTCCTTTTGATGTGACCCAGTGGCCTTAAGGGCTCACAGTTCTGGGGACTCCCCTGGCGGTCCAGTGGTTAAGACTCTGCATTTCCAATGCAGGGGGCATGAGTTCCATCCCTGGTTGGGGAACTAAGGTTCCACATGCTGCGTGGTGCAGCCAAAAAGAAAAAAAAAAAAAAGAGCTCATAGTTCTGGCACAGCACGATGCTTTCTGCTCATCCCATACTTCACAGCCCCAGCCCTGGACCCGGCCATTTCTCCAAGGAGCCCTGCTTCCTTTTAACGGGAGATGATATTTGGAGACCATAATCTGACCACAAAGTTAGGAAACCCACATTTTCTTCACTCATCTTTTGACTTTGAAAATATTTGGCCTACAGAAGTTGCAAGACGATGACAATGAACTCCCATAGACCCTTCCTCTAGGTCAGGGGTCACTACCTGCTCTAAGCCTGTTTTTGTAAATAAAGTTTTATTGGCACATGGCCAGGCCCATTCATTTACACATGGTCCGGGGCAGCTTTCCGGATGACAACAGAGTCATTGTGACAGAGACTGTCTGCCCCTCAATGCCAAAAATATTTACTATTTGGCTCTTTGCAGAAAAAGTCTGCAGACCCCTGAGCTAGATGCTCCCACAGTTAACCTTTTGCTTTATATTTCTCTATAAACATAATCTAAAAGTATACAATCTATTCCATAAAGAATATACACATTTTTTATTCTTTTTCTTAATTTTTTTCTAAGTAATTTGGAAGTGGGCAACATCATGCAACTTGACTCCAAAAAACCAAAAAAACAAACAAATAAAAAACCAAACAAAAAAACCAAATGTATTTCCTGCAAACAAACACCTCCTATTATGTAACCAGAAGGTGTTGGTCAAATTCAGGAAATCTAGCACTGATACAACAATAGTATTTAATATACAGCCCATATGAAAATTTCACCAGTTGTCCCAATATTGTCTTTTATAGCAACTCCCCCCTCCCCCCTCCCCTGTTGTTGTATTCAGTTGGGGGTCACTCATTGCATGTAGTTTCATATATCTCTGATCTCCTTTCTTCTGAGACAGCTTTAGGCTTTTTTTGTTGTTGTTGTCTCTTATGACCTTTTATGACCTTGACTCTTTCCAAGAGGCCAGGCCAATTTTTCTCTGGGATGTCCCTCAGTGTGGGTCTGTCTGATGGTTCCCACGATCAGATGCAGGTGATCCACGTTTGGCAGGAATATCCTAGAAGTGATGTGTCCTTCTCAGTGCCTTGTATCAGGAGGCCCAGGAGGCCCACGAAGCCCATTTTTTTCCCCCATTCCCTGTGTGTTTACTTGGTGTCTTGGTTAAGCTGCTGTTCACCGGTTTCTAAGTAAGGCATTTTCCCCTTTGTAACCGATAAATCATCTGTAGGAAAATACTTTGAGATTATGTAAATATCCTGCTCCCCAACAAACTTCCACCTAATTACTTTAGCATCCACTGACGAATCCTGCTTGGATCAATTATTGCTGGGATGGTTACCAAATGGTGATTTTTTAAAACTCTGTTACTGAGTCCGTGCCTGGGAGTGGGATTGCTGGATCATATGGAATGGTCATTCTTTTTTTTTTTTTTTTCCTAATTGTTTTTTAAAATACACATAACATAAAATGAACCGTGTTGTACATTTCAGAGGTATGGCTGAATGAATACATTCGTCATTTTGCAACTGTCACCACCATCCACCTGCAGAACTCTTTTCACCTTGTAAAACTGAAACTCTGTCCTCATTGAACACTAACTCTGAATGCCCCCCTTCCCTGCCCCGGGCACCCACCATCCTACTTTCTGTCTGTGTGATTTTTTAAAAAAATATTTATTTTATTTTTGGCTGTGTTGGGTCCTCGTTGCTGTGCATGGGCTTTCTTTAGTTGCAGTGAGTGGGGGCTACTCTTTGTTGCAGTGCTCGGGCTTCTCATGGCAGTGGCTTCTCTTTGTTGCAGAGCACAGGCTCTAGAGTGCAGGCTTCAGTAGTTGTGGCCCACGGGCTTAGTTGCTCTGCAGCATGTGGGATCTTCCTGGACCAGGGCTCGAACCCATGTCCCCTGCACTAGCAGGCTGATTCTTAACCACTGCGCCACCAGGGAAGACCCATGTCTGTGTGATTTTAAGATTGTTCATTGTTGATGCTCAAATTGTCTCAGGTTTGGCCAGCTTGTGTTTCTCCCATGGGTCCCCATCCTTCTCGGAGCCGTTCCTTACTCTCTGGTGCATCAAGACATTCCAGGCTCACCTTGTATGCTTCCTGCCCCATCCCTGGAATCAGTCATTTCTCCCTAGAGTCCTGGATCCCTTCTTTTTTTTTTTTTAGGGCATGATATTTAGAAGCCAAGATCTGGGTGCTAGGTGTGCTCATTCCTATTGGGTTATCTCAGTGGATGGAGTTAGGAAATTGATTTGTGTTTAAATATCAAGTCCACATGGATACTTTAATCCCATTTCATCCCTGTGGGGCTCTTCTATTTCATCTTTGCACCTTTCTCCCCCAGTGAACACCTGATTCCTAATAATATCAACACACTTGCTACTTCGCCACATTTGCTACTTCACTCAGTCCCACAGTACAGGATAGTTTCAGAATCACTACATCTATACCACTCCCAAAAACAAATGTACCGAACCAAGTTTAAATTTTTTTTTGCAGTTCCCTTTGCCTTTAGAGTGAGTAGTGTGTCCAAAAGTTGCATAAGCTGGTTCTTTTCTATTTCTGTGAGGTTATGTTTTTCATTTGACATACGGTTCAGTTAATCTGTTTTCTATTTATGGTCCATCTTAAAGCTTCCGTCCTCCATCGTTGTTGATTTAAATTTTTGTTGAATATAGAAAGCATTAACAGTTTAAAAACTATACAAAGAGGAAAACACAAAGGGTGTCATCCCCTCCTCTCTTCAATTTCAATCCCATCCACTCCTGTAGGTAACCAATTTGATTGGTTCTTGGTTTATCTTTCCTTCGCAAAAGCAAGCTGATATGTGGGTATTTTACTCCCCCCTTCTTTATTATACAAAAGGTAACATACTACATATACTCTTGTACTTCCCCCTCAACTTAACAATACATCGTGGAAATCACCCCATTCCGCTCACAGAGATCACCCTCATTTCTTTTTCATGGCTGCGTAGTACTCCATGGTGAAGTGCAGTGTAATGCATCAGCCTCTCTCCTGTGTACAGACATCTGGGTTGCTTCCAATATTTTACACTTACAAATGACAATGAGTAACCTTTTGCATACTCACTTGTGTGTTGTTGAAGCTGCGTTTTCAGGACAGATTTCTAGAAGGGGGACTGCTCTTCTGTAGCATGGGGATAATCGTAAGATTAAATAAGGTTTAATGCACGTATGGCCTTTCACCCAGTCAGCAGGTAATTCATGGCAGAAGGTCACCACTGTTGGACAGCTTGGCCTCAAATTAGCCAAACTCTGCTCTCTCACAGCATTTTAGTCTAGTTCTCAATTTGCTCTCTCAGCCTGGGGTGAGGGGCTCAGCTGGGGTTGGGGTTTAGTTGGGGTTGGGGCTCCACTAGAGGTGGGACTCAACTTGGGATTGGGGCTCAGCTTGGGGTCAGGGTTCAGTTCAGGGTCAAATCTCAACCAGGTTCAGGGGTCAGGGTTGGAGTCAGGCTGTGGTCATGGGTTCAGCCAAGGTCAGGATTCAGCCTGGGATCAGGGCTCAGCTGGGGTTGGGGGTCAGCCTGGGTCAGGGATCAGAGTTGGGGTCAGCCTATGGTCACACGTTCGGCCAAGGTCAGGGTTCAGCCTGGGATCAGGGCTCAGTCCAGGGCCCAGGCTCAGAACATGCCATGTGTCTCCCTGTGAATGTGCCTGGGTCAGGTGGTCCCTCGTGAGGCCGGGACTGGGGCTCGGGTGCTCATCCCCTCCCCCCTCCCCCCAGCTGCCTGCACAACCCCTCCTCTCACAACCCCCCCTTCAGATCTGTTTCTGCTTGGTCACCTCCAGTGACCAGATGTTGCTACTTCCCAGGGCGCCCCTCCCTCTGAGCTTCCCTGTAACTGTCCTGCTCCAGAGCTGAGCAATGAACTCAGGGTTCAGGGGGCCACAGTCCCTGGGCTGTCCTCAACCCCTGTGTCCTGCCCACCCGCCACTCATGGGGGACACCAGAGCCCCTCAGACACCTGTGTCTCCCCCCTCAGACACTGGTCAGGGCAGTGTCCCCCCGCCTCAGGCCCCCCAAACATCACTCCACACATCATCCCCGACTTCCTCTCCCCGACTTGGTGCCCACACACCTCCGTCCTCACCCTTCTCTGGTTGAGTCAGTGTGAGCCGGGTCAGGATGGCTGTGCGGTGGCGGTGGGGAGAGCTCCCCACTTCTGTGAGCCCCTCCCCCTCCAGATGTGAGGTGCTGCCCCGGGTGGCGGTCCCCAGCAGCTCTGCTCCCAGCAAAGCCAGCTCAGGGGCAGGAGAGGCAACGGAAAACCTGGGGAGAGAGGGTCCCGCCACGGAAGCCCCGGGTAAACGTGTGGGTGCATGGGATTCACCTCCCGGCTGTGTGCTCTTCTGCGGGACCCGGGGCAGACACAGCCTCTCCAGGCCTCGGTTTCCCCTTCTGTGGACTGCGTGGTCCTGGCCCTGTCGTGAGGCTAAAACGGGGTGCATCTGCGGTATCGCTGAGGAAGCTGGTGGTGCTCCTGTGTGTGCGGCCGCTTGACGCACACTTATTAAGCACCTACTGTGTGCCAGGCGGGTTTGGAGCAGTTGGGGAGCCGGTGACGGAACAGCGGGTCCTGCAGGGAGTAGCTCATGGGGGCGGGGAAGTCATCCAGCCCGGGTGTCACAGGGGAACAGGTTTCCCCCCCTCTGGGACCCCACCCGCAATGAGGGACCGCGGGCTCGCAGCAGGCAGCAGCCGCAGCGCCCTCCGGGAGTCCGGGTGGGAAGCGACCGTTGGGATGCCCCTCCCCGTCCCGGCCTCACCCTCACCCTCACCCTGGGGGTACCTTGAACATAACAGGAAATTTCAAATAACAGGAAACCAAGACCGGGCAAGGCGAGCGGCTCCACCCTGCCTGGGGCGAACCACCCCGGGCCTCAGTCTGCCCCCGGGGACCGCGATGAACGCCACGGGGGCCCCGACCGAGGCCCCCGAGTCCTGCCAGCTGCTGGCGGCCATCGGGCACAGCCGGCTCATCGTCTTGCATTACAACCACTCTGGCCGGCTGGCGGGGCGGGGCGGGCCCGAGGAGGGCGGCCTGGGGGTGCTGCGCGGGCTCTTCGTGGCTGTGAGCTGCCTGGTGGTGCTGGAGAACCTGCTGGTGCTGGTGGCCATCGCCAGCCGCATGCGCTCCCGCCGCTGGGTGTATTACTGCCTGGTGAATATCACGCTCAGCGACCTGCTCACGGGCGCCGCGTACCTGGCCAACGTGCTGCTGTCCGGGGCGCGCACCTTCCGCCTGGCGCCGGCCCAGTGGTTCCTGCGCGAGGGCCTGCTCTTCATGGCGCTGGCCGCCTCCACCTTCAGCTTGCTCTTCACGGCGGGCGAGCGCTTCGCCACCATGGTGCGGCCGGTGGCTGAGAACGGGGCCACCAAGAGAGGCCGCGTGTGCAGCTTCATCGGACTCTGCTGGCTGCTGGCAGCCCTGCTGGGCCTGCTGCCTCTGCTGGGATGGAACTGCGTCTGCGCCTTCCAGCGCTGCTCCAGCCTGCTCCCGCTCTACTCCAAGGGCTACATCCTCTTCTGCGTGGTGGTCTTCGCCTGCATCCTGGCCACCATCATGGTGCTCTACGGAGCCATCTTCCGAGTGGTGCGCTCCAACGGGCAGAAGGCCCCGTGCACCCCGGCCCGCCGCAAGGCTCAGCGGCTGCTCAAGACGGTGCTTATGATCCTGGTGGCTTTCGTGGTGTGCTGGGGCCCCCTCTTCGGCCTGCTGCTGGCCGACATCTTTGGCTCCAACGTCTGGGCTCAGGAGTACCTGCGGGGCATGGACTGGATCCTGGCGCTGGCCGTGCTCAACTCCGCGGTCAACCCGGTCATCTACTCCTTCCGCAGCCGGGAGGTGTGCCGGGCCGTGCTGGGCTTCCTCTGCTGTGCGTGTCTCCGGTTGGGACTGCGAGGGCCTGGGGACTGCCTGGCCCGGGCTGCCGAGGCCCAATCCGTCGCCTCCACCACCGACAGCTCGCTGAGGCCGAGGGACAGCTTTCGGGGCTCCCGCTCGCACAGCTTCCGGATGCGGGAGCCCCTGTCCAGTATCTCCAGCGTACGGAGCATCTGAGCCCACTGTTGGGGCAGTGGTCCAGCTGCCGGGTGCACGCCCGGGCGCGCAGGGATGCAGCAGCAGGCAGGCTGGATGCAGAGGAAGGAAGAGGGCAGCCGGGGGCATGCGTCCCAGGGCCTTGCAGTCCTCCCCGAAGCCTCCTGAGGCTGCTGACGCCGAGTGGATTTCCCACGGTCTCCGTGGGGCAGGAGGCAACAGGAGGAATAGAGAGCGCGCTGGAATAGGGATGAATGGGTTTGCTGTGTACGCAGCCCCCCTCCTGTGAGATTCTGAGGAAATCCCAGCCCCACAGTGGGCCTCAGTGGGGCTCCCAGGCTGCCAGGGCTAGGCTGGGTAGGGGGGTGTCTATGCCCCGGCAACGCGAGAGTTCAATGATGGGATGAGATGCTGCAGGCCCTTATTCACATGTGGCATCAGGGTGATGGGATGAGGGCTGTGGGTCTGCTGGAGCTGTGCCTGCAGCACAGGGAGGGCCACGACACCCGCCCCTTCCTGTTCACTTCCCCTTTCCCTGCCCTATCTCTCATCTTGGGTCCTGGGCGGCCTCCTTCCCCCACCTCTGGCCTCTGCATCTCTTAGGACTCAGTCTGGAGACCAGCAGAGGGGGAGCCGACTGGCCCTCCTGACCTCGGGGAAATCTCACCCACTTCTCCCTTTAGCACTACCTGCCTCTTCCTTCCCCATCTGTGAAATGGGCCTATAGCAGACGGAACCCACCACGGGAGGCGGTCGGTACTCGCTCAGTGTTTTTTGCCATGGCGCGTGGCATCAGTGTGTTGACAAAACATTCAGCGACGGTGGAAATGTTCTACATCTGTGCTGCCAGTGTGGGACCCTCATGTGGCTACTGAGCCCTCGATAAGTGGCCTGTGCGACTGAAGACTGAACTTGGAATTCCTTTGCATTTAGACAGTTCACAGGACTTGCGGCAATGGTATGGGACAGCGCCGCAGGGGTCCACCCTCCGGGTGTAGCCACCTTTGGCTGGTAGAAAGTGCTCTCTTTCCATCTTCCTAGCCAAGAAAATGTCCGCAGGTCTTTCTGCCTCCGTCTTGCCAAGTTCTTGGGTCAGCATCCCGTCTGCCACTCTGGATGGGATAGCTCCGTTCTGAGCCTCCGTTTCTCCCCTGCAGGATGGGGGATGCAGCGATGGGAAACTGTTTACTGCGCTGTTTCAATAAAGCAGCCATTAGCCACACGTGGGTATGTAAAATTAATTAAAATGAATTTTAAAAATTCAGTTTCTTGGTGCATTTCTCGGAGCTGCCGTATCAAAGTATCACAGACCGAGGGGCTTAAACAACAGGAATGTATTCTTTCATGACTTCCCTGGTGGTCCAGTGGTTAAGACTCCACGCTTCCACTGCAGGGGGTACAAGTTGGATCCCTGGTCAGGGAACTAAGATCCTGCATGCTGAGTGGTGCGGTCAAAAAAAAGAAAAGAGAAAAGAAATTTATCCTCTCATGGTTCTGAAGGCTGGAAGTCTGAGATCAAGGTGCCAACAGGTTTGGTTCGTTCTGAGCCTTCTCTCCTAGATTCTGGGGGTTTGCTGGCAATCTTTGGCATCCCTTGGTTTGTAGACTCCATTTTCACATGGGTTCTCCCTGTGTGCACATCTGTGTGCAAATTTTCCCTTTTTATAAGGACACCAGTCCTATTGGATTAGGGCCACCCTATTCCAGTGTGACTCAGCTTAACTAATTACACCTATAACCATCCTATTTCCTAATAAGGTCCTATTCTGAGGTCCTGGGGGTTAGGATTTCAAGACATGAATTTTGGAGACACAATTCAGCCCATAACACTTGGTCACACTAGCCACACTTCAAGTGCTTGATGGGACATGGGACTTGTGGCTACTGTTTTGGACAGTGTAGACACAGAGCATGTCCATCATCACAGAAAGTTCTGTTGGACAGGACTGGAAAACGTTCCAAGCATGTATAAGCTGGGATACTTCTTACATTTTCCTGATTCCTGGTCCACGTGTGTTTATTCGGGACAGTGGCAGGCAGGGTGAGGTCTCGGTGGAATTTGGTGTGAGGGGAGCCTGGGCCTCCTTGAAGCTCTCAGCCTGTGTCCTGGGCCTGTGTGAGCTGGCCCTGTGGCCCCCTCTGCCCTGTGGGGTGTCACACTTTGCTTTGACTGAGCTGCACTCTTTGCTGCTCCCTCCCATCTGGGGTCTTTGCACCTGCCTTTGTTGTCCCCAGTAGAGTGGCCTGCCCATCCTTCAGGTCTCAGCTTTAGCATCACCTCCTCCAGGAAGTCTCCCTTATTTCTCCTCCTCAGCCCTCTTCCGGGATCCCACACCTGCCTGTGCAACTCCATCATAGATCCGATCGCACCTGGTTACTCATCCACCTTCTCCCCTGGACTTGGAGCTCCATGTGAGTGGAGGTAGTGACAGTGTTTGGGCCACAGCTATGTCCCTGGCACCCAGCACAGGAGATAGTAGGTGCTCCATGACCTAGAGTGTTGGGAGAACTAGTCCTAGCATCATGCCTTACAATGAGCCTGGGGAACTTCTTCCCCTCCTTACTCTTCACCCCCACCTTCCTCCCTGACTACGATGAAACTGTTCCCATGAATCCTGACTTCTGCTCTTAGGTGGCTCAGGTGTCTGTAACGCATCACCGTTCCCCAGCTCTGCCGCTCACCATGGGCTTCAGTTTCCTCATCTGTAAAATGAGGATATTGATATCCCCTGCCCTCCTGGGATGTTGTTAAGACAAGGAATATAAAGGCCCTCAAACTTAGTGTCTGATTTTGTAATAGGGAAGAGCAAATCTGACTCTTTTTTTTTTTTTTTTTTCGGTACGCGGGCCTCTCACTGTTGTGGCCTCTCCCGTTGCGGAGCACAGGCTCCGGACAGGCTTTGTACAAGAATGTTGCCTATAGCCTGAAATATACAGGTGAGCCTATTCTCAAGGCTCTGACATTTAAGAGTCCATTCACATAGAGGTAAAATGTTTCAGAATAGGGAATAACATTTGTTTTGTTGGAGGTTTACAGGAACATCCTGACCTGAGCTGACCTGCACAGCTGCAAGAACAAAGGATTCCAAAACCAAGAAGTTTGCAGCAACTAACCACGTCCCTCTCTCACTTGCCTTTAAAAGTGCTTGGCTGAAACCCTTTGGGGAGTCGGGGTTTATGGGGCATGAGACACTGGTCTCCTTGCATGGCCCTGCAATAAACCTTTCTCTGCTCCAAACTCCAACTTTTGGTTTGTTTGTCCTCACTGTGCATTGGGCACAGGAACTTGCGTTTGGCAACAATTTTTTTTTTTTTTTTTTTTTGCAGTACGCGGGCCACTCACCGTTGTGGCCTCTCCCGCTGCGGAGCACAGGCTCTGGACGCGCAGGCTCAGTGGCCATGGCTCACGGGCCCAGCCGCTCCGCGGCATGTGGGATCTTCCCAGATCGGGGCACGAACCCGTGTCCCCTGCATCAGCAGGCGGACTCTCAACCACTGCACCACCAGGGAAACCCCCTGACAACATTTTAAAATGCCTTATGTATCACTCAACGTTATCCTAGTCACCTTTGTACTAACTCATTTAATCCTTGGAAAATCTCCAGGAGGCAGGTACCATCATAACTCCATTTTATAGATGGAGAAACTAAGACCCAGAGAGGTTAAGTAGCTTACACAAGGTCACACAACTGGGAAGAGGCAGAGCTGGGATTCAAACCCAGACAGGTGACTTTTTTTTTTGTTTTCTGGGGTCTTAGTTCCCTGACCAGGGATCAAACCCACGCCCCCTGCAGTGGAAGCGTGGAGTATTAACCCCTGGACCGCCAGGGAAGTCCCCACAGGTGACTTCTGGATCCCTGTCTGTTACTGCCTCTTTGATGAATGAATGAATAAATGAATGAATGAAAGAATGAATACCAGTTCCTTCTCTCCTTTGGAAAACTCAGAATGAATGTTCCATTTCATTCTTCGGGCTGCCCCAAGGTTTCATCTCCACAAAGCAGGATTAGTTGAACCTCCCCATTTTACAGACAGAAAAACCAAGGCTCAGGAGAGGAGGCGGAATGGGCAGCCCTAAAGTCCAAGCCTCGTTATCTGAGCCAAGTTTAGGCCCCTTTCTTGCTTTGTCTCTAGGTGAGTGTGCGTGTCTTGCCTGTTCATAGCCTGACCTGGAAGAGTGGGGGTAGATGGAGAAGCAGGTAATAAACATTTGCTGATGAAGACCATGTGGGCCAGAATTTCTCAGTCTTTTCCCTGCCCTGCCAAGCCACTCCTGACTCCTCATGCCTAGGACCTGCCTGGGGATGGCCGGAAGCAAGGGACACAGCTGGAAGGGAGGGGCTGGTGTGTTGGTGTTTTCATGACTCATTCATTCATTCAACAACTGTGTGTCAGGCTCTATTCTGGGCAATGGGGTTGCAGCTATAAACAACCTGGTACCTGCCCGCGGAAAGGTCACAATTTGCTGGGGGTGGCAAACGTCAAACTAAGAAATGTCCAACATCATTTCAGTAAGGAACTAGCCATGCAGAAAGTGGGAGGGGGCCCGCGAGTGTTTTGCAGGAACAGTGGATGCAGCGGCTCTGAGGCTGCACGAGCTTGGTGCGTTCTCATAATACCAACACTTACTGAGCGCTTCATGTATGCCTCATCGTTTCTAAGTGCATTCACGTGGATTATCTTATTGAATCCTCACACACCCCTGGGGAGCCGGGAAAGAGTGTTTGATTATTTATCATCATATTTGGCAGCTGAGGAAATGGAGGCTCAGAGAGGTGAAGCGACTTGCCCAAGGTCATACAGCTGGGAAGTGGAGGAGCTGGGACTTGAACCCATGCTGTTAATCAACACAACTGCCACCTTTCACTTGGGACCGAAGGGAGGCCCACTTCCCTAGACAACGGTATCAGAACCTGTGGGCCAGGGCCATGTGCTCTGCACCCTCTGACCTCAGTCTTCCCGTCTGTACAAGGGGGTGTGAGTTACTGATGCCCCTTAAGGCCCCTGGCCCAGAGAGAATTGGGTTCTCAGGGGGGCCAGATTAGAAAGTACAAATTTAAGGCACCCAGTAAAATTTGAATTTCTGATGAGCGAATATTATTTTTTTTTACTGAGTATGTCCCAAATATAAATACGCCTAAGTATAAATATATCACCAACCCCGGCACAACACCAAGCTGCAGACTACAAGTCCCATAATCCATTGCGACATCCCTTTAGGAAACTTCTGTCATGATTTCTTGATTCTTCTTTCATTCTTTTATCCAAAAATTATATAAACCACCCACTGTGTGCCAGGCCTTGTGTTAAGTTCTGAGGAATACATCAGTGCACAAAGCAGACACAAGTCTTTGCCCTCACGGTGTTAACATCTATATTTCTTGGGAGTTTTAAGTGATTTTTTTTCCGAACTTCTGCCAGGAAGACTTCAGCTCCCATGACCCCTTGTGCTTGTTCAATGAGACTACAATTCCCAGGAGACCTAGCGCATCAGGCCGGCCCCTCTCTTCCTTCTTCCCAACTTTCCTCCGGGTCGCAAGGTCACGTCCTGCACAACCCCCTTCCCCCCTCCACCTTCTATCACAGCAAAGACAGGGCCTCAGTAAGTTCCGCCGATTATATATATTTTTTTAAGTCTCCGTATTTTCTGACTTGGGGTTTATGTGAAACCTTAGTCAAACGGTCCACCACAGCTTCTCTCGGGGAGTAACGGAATAGGCCTACAACTCCCAGGTGGCTCCGCGCGCGCCGGTCGGACTACAACTCCCAGCAGGCAGCGCGGCGGGCGGGCGGCCCTCGGCGGTGCCCGCAGGACCCCGGAGCGGGCGCGGGCTGCCCGGCGCGGCTCCCGCAGGACCCCGGCACCTACTCATGCCTAGGTGAGTTCGCGTGAGCTGCCGCTGCCGCCGTCCCGTCCCCGCCGCCGCCCCGCGCGGCCACGCCGCCGGCCAGGATGCTGGAGGAAGCAGGAGAGGTGCTGGAGAACATGCTGAAGGCGTCCTGCCTGCCGCTCGGCTTCATCGTCTTCCTGCCCGCCGTGCTGCTGCTCGTGGCGCCGCCGCTGCCCGCCGCTGACGCGGCGCACGAGTTCACTGTGTACCGCATGCAGCAGTACGACCTGCAGGGACAACCCTACGGTGCGTGGACCCGGGCCCCTGGCCTCCCCCCGGGGCCGGGCTTTCCCCATGGGCTCCTGACCTCCCCCACCTTTGCCTCTTCGCACCTGACCTTCCGCTCAGCCTCTCCCGTCTCCGGGGCTCCGGCC